AGCGACACCAAAGACCTGAAGTCAGCCCCCCAAAGCTTCGTGACTCCGTTCCCTTCTCTAGCGCCTTCCAGGGGCTCTACCCGAATTTAATTCTGCTGATACTCTATTCTCAGCGGATTCTATCAAACTACCCCCCGGCCCAGGACCCCCTCGCACCTTGGAAACGCAAAGGGATGACAGGGAATTACGTCCAGGACCCGATGCTTCTTGCCACCTCTCCTAATCGGGTGTAATTGATCGCCTCGTCCAGAAGTTTTCAGAGATGCTGGAGGAGCCGGATCAACCGAGCCGAGCTGCCACCAGCTGCAACACGGAATAGCTGGGGGGCTCGCTTATTTAATGATAATTTCCATACATACTTCTCCGCTTTTCGATGCGATCGTAGCCAAGTAAGAGCCGGACTTCAGAAGGCTCTACCCCGCAAGATCTCTTTCAGAAAGGAAACACCTATTTCCATTCAACACCCCATGAGTGCCCGCCCCGTGTTATTACCGGCTTCAACCCAGGAGTAAATCTAGTTCCGGACCTCCAGTCATTACCTCCCACCCAAAAATTATGAACTCAAGTACTCAGCGGTCTGCTATGCAACTTCTCCAAATCGCTAATATGCCGCAGAACTTCCTGCATCAAAGGAGGAGGTAAGAATGCTGCCGCCACCCCAACGACACATTTTGCTGAGAAAATTCTCGCGCCCTTTTCTCCACCGTTCAACCAACCCTAACCCGGGGGAGCCCAATCATCTTCTGGGCGCCCCGGTAAGCCATCCGCACGGAGGGGCGGGGTTTATGCTCCATATTTGCGGAATCACTATGAGTGGGCGTTGGGGATCAAGATTGGAGAACGAAAGGGTAGCTCATCATTTGTCCCAGGAAAAACACTTATACTGGTCGAAAGAATGTTACTTGGAGAATGGGACATGCTCGTGGGGGCTAAGACTGCGCAGTAAGCTGGTTGGATAGTAAGATAATATTCGCGTCATACTCCTCCATAGATTAGGGTGGTTGACCCCGAACGTCCTGGCTCGGTTGCTGGACTCAGAAATCAGAGAATAGCGGTGGCACAAAGTGCGTAATCTTGGTCGCAGTTACGCCACAAAACTGCTATCGGGGCGGGCTTATCAAAGGATGTAGTTGAGGCAGGAGCATATATGGAGATTAGCGTTAACATCTCTAAAATCAGCCTTTGGCCTTTTGGATTGCCTATCACAGCGCCAGATTATCCGAGTTCGGGTGACACAGTACTGTGCTACCGGTGCCGGAGCAAGGTATGGCGCTATGGGACACGCAAGTGCTCTCGTACCGTATAATACTCGGTGGTGGGTCGGGCCCGGGCGTTGGCGCCCCCCAAGTCAGAAGCTTATTGGACGAAAGAAACGCATTAGAGCCCGGGGGTTGGTCCGTTAGAATCATGAAGATATTATTCGAGGTATAAAAAAACCGTGATCAGGAGATTCCCAGTTTCTGCCCCCGTTCCCCTTTTCAGTTTCCTTTCAGGTATTCATGGTTCCTATTGATAGAACTATCCCTTAGTCCGCCATGCTAGGTCCCATATGTCTTACTAAGAAAAACAAAGAGATGTTAAAAGTACCCTCCCGCGATTGGTGGTGGATTATTAGAGCTTCATACCGAGATCTTGACTCCGGCGATCTCATGAATCTAGTGATGGACTACGGGTATGGAATAATCACTGTCCTTATTGGTGCTATGGGCACCGGGAAAAAGCACTTAAACCTCCCGCTAAAAATGACTCAAATCCAAAACTAGATGGCTCTCCACACAGCCAGAATTCACAAAACCCGAACTTCTGAAGGATATCTAACGTCTAGCTCCAGGCACCAGCAGTTTGATTTTTCCAAATAAGCAAACACGTAGATATCGTATTAGGTGGATTTAGCTGGTTCGGCTCACAGTTAGCTTGGCCAAGTGAGGCTCTAAAAAGAGTTAAGTGGGGATACCCAAGAGATCTACATCTCTCCTCGAGGGTTGTATACCCGCCTAGACGGTCCCTTATCTCCGAATGCCCCTCAGAAGACGACAAAGGGTGGTGGGTGAATTTTTAAAGCGGAATATAAAACCGGGATCTCGGGGTGGTTGTCGTAAGATAAATGGAAGAAGAATCGGTCATGGGTGGGGATAGCATGGAAAAAATCCAAAAAGTAATCTGCTGCAATAGCACACATGAAAAAGTGTGGGTTTTTTTCCTTTCATTCTTCGAGAGTTGTGGGGTATGGAATATTTATTCTCATGAGGTACCTGCCAAGACTAAAGTTTTTTTAAGGGCAAGATACATGGCAACCGATCTTACCCAGTTCATGCGCCCGCTGCTCTCTACAAACAGGAAAAAAGCCAAAATAAATATATATTACACTTCAGACAAAAGTGTCAAATTTTATTTTATTTTCAAGGCTGAGTTCCAAGGTATCCGTGGAGTTATTGTGGCTCGAAAACCCTCAATTTTGGCCTATTTTGGCTTCTGTCTGGTTACTGAGCGGCCCCCATTGCTGGGGCTAGGCAGTTATTCCTCGCATCACACTGGCGACCAGCACCCCGAACTTGCTAAATCCACCTATTCAAGGTGAATTTACTCGGGTAAGTGATTTGCACAACCGCTATCTCCTGGACTGCTGAGATTTGAAAATTTTGCTCCCCTCTGTCAGTTACAGAATATAATTTGATTTACCTCCTGCTGTCTAAGACAGAGGTGGCTAGTTCACTTACTCAGTATTTCTGGATGATGGTATGTGTAGATACGATCACGCGGCTAATATTAACGATGGTGTAAGGGTGCACGACTGCTGTTAGTTAAAAAGTTTGCTTATTAATTTGTGTCTCGGACACTGACAGGGACGTCACAAAATTTTCCACAGTCGCAGCAATCGAGGAGGTACTGTACTCGAGTACTTGTACAAGTGCTTGCACAGGGCGGCACAAAATTTTCCACAGCGGCGCAGCAATTGAGGAGGCACTGTACAAGTACTTACACAAACCCCAGCTCTCTCCTTTTCTCAGCGACCTACATACACAGCCGCTCTTAAGTTACCGTTTGACCTGCATGCCCACGATCACCCGCCCCGGGGCTTTAAAGCTTTTACTAGTCCGAACGGCCTGGACAACCACCAACCCAGATCGAGCATCCGCTACCCAGTGGGCAGTGGGTGTTCGGGAGCCTTGCCAAGGGTACTCGAGATAAACTACCCTTGTCCGAAAAGAACCCCTCGACCAAGGAGGCCATCCCGTTGTCGTGAGGAATGGGACTGTTGTTTCCACCGTTACCCTGCCTGGAGATAATAATAACTTCACAAAATTTGCTTGGCCCAAGACTCCCCAATACCGAAATTCATCCTGTGAAATATTTTCTCTTTTCCTGTTCTTCTCTTATCTTATATACATTTTGCCCTGGCGCTACGAGTATATAGTGCCGCGGTAGAAATTCTCCTCGCGAAGTGCCAGCAACGCCACTACTACCAGGCCTCATTTTTTCGAATTCATATTGGCCGTCCGGTCGATGGCAAGGGGTGCGTGGTGTTTGTGCCGAATAAAAAGCAGAATCGAAGGTTGACAACCGCCGACTCCCTATGATCTAAAAGTTAACTCTCTCGACTCCTACTAACAGTAAAATGCTACTACAGCCTTCAAGTACCACCGGTCCTCGCTGAGCATTCAGGCTGGTAGTGGAAACAAGGTCTCTAGGCAGGGATCTGGGGATTCCCCAGCGGGTATCATATCTGGGTGGGTGTTCCGATACTGGTGCCGTAAGTGGGTGGGTGTCCGGGGGAGGGTGTGATAGGTATCTGGGGGGAGGGGCGCCTGGAGGTGGTGGTGGATAGGCGAAGGTGTGATAAGGGTCAAGGGAGGGGGTGGCGTCTGGAGGTGGTGGTGTCCGGAGGTGGTGGCGTCCGGAGGTGGTGGTGTCCGGAGGTGGTGGCCTCTGGAGGTGGTGGTGGGTGGGTGTCCGGGTAGGTTGCCTACGGTAAAAAAAAAAGGTGCCCTATTGTCTGTGGTTGCCGACCTTAGATTTTCCGATTCGGCACATAGGGGCACTTTGCTGTAGATGAGGACTAGGATAACCTAGAGACTAGAATAACCTAGAAACTGAAACAATCCGACGAAGTGCGATAGCATGTCTTCGAGGTTGTCATCAGTAGCCTTCCTACTCTCCTGGCCCCAGAGGGGCTGAGCAGCTCAACTTTGGCCGTGCTTTGTCCGCCCGTTTTGATTGCAGGGGACTCTCCACTATGGGGACGCTGGTGCTACTTGTGTGACGCTCAGTTCTTTTATTCTCGCAATGGATTTGTGGACTACGGTAACCCTGCCCTCCAAGTTTTCCCCATCTGAGCCCCGACACCTATTTCAGCCTCAAATGTGAGATCATGAGACGGCATAACAATCCCACGTATTCCACGCCATAGCGGATTCTTGGCGTTAGTTATACCTCTCCATGTTTGGCTAATCCTGAGAGAAACTAGAGCCGCGCGTAACGGTTACGTAGAATACGATGCTGGTGAACGGCCGTTCCGCCCAGTCTTATTCCTTGGGCTCAAGTGTTCGTGCATTAGCTCCCTTCCTTACCGCACAGACTATCGCTGGTTCTTCCAGTGCTCGTGCTGAAGTTAGGATCAAGGCAAGATTGCCTGGCCCTGGCTCTCCCCTTCGGATCGTTTCTACAGCCTCTGTTCGAAAAAGTCGGGAAATCTAGAAATAAACCGTCCGTGCAAAGTCCGTGCAAAGGTACCAATTCCTATGTCTACCCCCCGTGCGCTTCCCTGTCAACCCCCCCCTGTTTCCCGATTTTTTCTACCAGGGGCTGTAACCAAAATAACACAGCCCTGTCGGTGGGCGGGTCCGATATAAAACCCTCTGAATCCCCCGCCATTTTTTCGCCCCCCTCTCTCGACATTATCGCACTGGCACAAGCTCGTCGCTGATGTACCAATCCTGCAAATCCTCCCGGTTCATATCATACCCGAGCTGACTATCCCGAACAACCAACCGATTCATTAGCGTCCCCTTCTACTACCTCCTATTACTCATTCCATACTCAATACATAGTACTAGTAAAATCTCTCGGCGTTCAATTGTTTCAAGTCGTTATGCCGGCTATCCCGCGATCCCCCATCAAAACTCTGCTATCGCAATTTAACAGACGTGATTACCCGGAAAACAGTGGAGGGCATGATAGCGATGGAAGTAGCCCGGTAGCGATAGTGGGAATCGTTATTGCTGCCCTCACTTTGCTTGTTGGCATTATGTCTCTTCTGAGCCCACGATTCCGTCGTTGGTTGTCCCGTTTATTACCTTCGCGCTTCGCCAATGTATACCCACCCCTCCTCATCACCATTAAGGATATTAATATATTTCTTAGCCCTATAATACCCTTCAGCAAGTTCCCAGAGCTACCCTACCGGGTCTCGAGCCCGCCGTCCCAACCCCAGATATTGCTAGGCTCGGCTATGTCTTTATTTATAATGACTATTCCAACGCCCGCTTTGCCGGGGCCCACTTGAACACCTTTTCTCACGAGAGCAACGGGATCCCCAGCGAAGATATGAGGGTAACATGAGAGGCGCCACCGCCGGATCCGAGAAGGCCGGAACGGGTGACCACTTTACCGTTCGCATAAGGACTATTTTACAGCACCTGAAGCACCCCGATATTCTATACTCGAGTAAGTAGAGTTTATACAGCACCCCCCCTATATTGTTGCAAGTGCTTGATATCCGCGTTTATAATCACTTCAACCTTTTCTAATATTTTTTGCCACACAGCTTGACGGAGCAGGTCCGCCAATTATTTGCGAGAAGGGTGTAGGCGTTAGTGGTTGATTACTATAACCACTGGAATAATCGGGCCTCAAGCTACGAGACTGCTGTTGCCCCTCCTGACAGGATTTGAAATTGTGTTCCCACCGTTGCCGAGCACACGCTAATGCTCATCCTGCCACGCTGTTTCGAACAGAATTCGAGGACAAGCTCTGCTAGAAGCTTGGGCTCTTCTAGAATTATTACAGCATTGAATAGATTTTGTATTTTCTACTGGTTTGTCGCAACTATTTAAGGAGGAGGGGGCTAGAGAAGGTAATAGAAGTGATTGCAGCGTTCACCGTACGAAATAGAATCACGTTGTGTCTTCATTATTTTCTTTGAAGCCGAATTTCAATGAATGCCGCCGTGGTCGCCCAGTTAAGCTGCTGTCCTCCGTTTAGTTGGGGCTCCCGTGTTTGAACCCATCCGACCCACAAACCCCTGCCCCCTCCGCCAGCGCAGCACTTGCGCCCGGCAGGAGGGCGGCGGGCCACGGCGAGAGATGCGAGGACCAGCCCAGAGTGTGAAATGCAAGCGGAAAAGCTTCTACGCCAAGTTGGGAAAGCAGCGGGAGAAAATGGCTTATCTGTGCATACCGGTAGATCCCTTCGGTCTATGTTGGCCTAGCGAGACCCGCTCTGCGCTCCTCTACTCCACAACCTTTATCCGAGTTGAAGTACTCTTTAGCGAAACATTGGAAGTGGGCAAACACCTCGAGCTATAGTAAATAGTTGTTATTATAGCTTCCACCTGGATATGGAGGCATCATGTGGGGGACATGAGCGCATACCTTCGCCAAGCTAAGGAATTCTTCCGACTCAATGGCAGAACTTCGACCCCTTCTCACGTGGACTGCTTGGTCCCACCACCCTGACCCACCACGTCACCGCCCTGCTTCGCTTGTGCAACCCCCCTGATCGAAAGCCATAGCATCTCCCCAGCCTTTGTATTTATCGGCAACGCCGCCTTCATAAGGGTCATCCCTCCGCTATCCCCCCCCATCACCATCACGCCTCTCTCCACTAACCCTCAAACCCTCATACTTGTAATTCTTCCTAATCCCAATGCTCAAGACCAACACAGTGTGCTGAACAGACTTATAAACCATGTCATATTGCATCAGAGTTAGACCGTTAAAGACTCCTAAGAGAAAGCCCCGAAAAAAAATAGAAATAAAGCAAGAAAATTATATGACAAGCATAGCCCTCCAACCAAGTTTCCCCCTTTGAGCTTCTCGGGGGGGGGGCGACAGAACCTAATCTCTGCAAATGTGCTCTTGGGAATTTTCTGGTAAACCCGCTTACTATTCCAGTTACCTGCTCGCTTGCACTCCAGAGCAGGGGTACAGAGAAAACGGAGGCTCCAGAAATATTCTAAGTTCATAGAACTTCACTGAGGTCATGGCGATATCAGTAATGCCCTTCAGGGAGTTTGCAGTTCTGACTGGCCCGAGAGTTTCGGGGGACTTTCTCCCCATACCCATCTGGCAATCGTGTTTAGATTTTTGTCTCCTGGTTTTTTTCTTTTTTTTACCCTGGGGGTGGGAGTTAAGGGTGTCGTTTGTAGAACGGTATTGAAGGAAGGTTCCTGGTTAGCTCGTAGAGAACTTTACGTGAGCAGGATCAGCACCGAATCCGTGAGATATGAGGAGTCCCGGATTAGCTTTGCCTGTCTATCTAGTTTGTAGTTATGTGGTAGGTTGGGCTTCTTTTTTGTTACGATAGGACGGCTCGCGTCATAAGAGATGCATTTTAATTGCCTCTGCAGAATCCATGGTTGCGAAGAAAGTTACGTGTTTTCTAGAGACTCCCCCGTTAGGTATATATCATATATTAGAGGGAAGATAGCAGAAGGCTTGATTTGTCACTCTCCAGATAATGGCTTTTCTTCGCTCCCTTGTTTTTTCTCTCCGTAGGGGCGCACCGCCGGGACCGTCTGATCGCGAAGTGTTAAGACCCCATCTCTGTGGTAAGTTCCTGAGATATTCCACCCCCCCCCCTACTGCCTCGTTTTGGTGGACAAAGTTAGCATAAAATCTGTGCGCAGCCCCTAGAACCCATCAATATTCTACTCATCGGACCAAAAAAGTGCGATGAAATCACCACGCTGTAGCTAGACAAATGTCGGTGGCAACATTAGTACTGCTTTGTGGAGAACGAACGAACGAAATAACGAAACAATTTAAACACCCTCTGATCCTCACGTTCTCCATACCTACTCCGAGATTCCTTCCCACCCCCGACCACCAGCTCAATCCTCCGAGTGAGATCTTGTGAAGAGACAACCCCAACTCAGATTTTCGAGGGATTTTCTGTGGGATATGAGGATTACACCTCTTCAGCCACCAAAATGAGGTCGAGTAACGAGCAGGACCGGGAAGTTGACCACCGTTTACAAGGGAAATAGGAAATGTCTACCGGCATAGTTCTCAACTGGCAAGATCCTGAAAAAGAAAATAAGAACAATGAGAGCAATATATCGGGTAATGAGCTCTTATAAACAATGACTCTAGGACTAAATAATTGTAGCTTACTAGGAAGAGCTTCGGTTATCATTTCCGCTTAATTATCATTTACAGATCCTGCTCTTGAGATCCGGAAAATTTCCAGTAAATGAGGGATACTTATATCCTGAGTTCCCAAGGACCTCTTCATCTATGGTAGGAGTAAAATGGCCTGTGATTCAAAAGATGCGCCCCCACTCCGGTGAAAGGAACAGATGGAGCAAAATAAACCCGAGGGCCCAAATACTAAACCGGCGGCTTTACCGGTTGAGATACAGATTCTCAGGATACGAGAGAATAGCCTTCAATGTGTTCAGCTTCTTGAGTACAGAGGTTGTTAAGAAATGGTAAATTTTGGAGCAGTTTAGTATCCAAACACCACCAGGCGGACCTAGAGGTAGCTGTCTCGGGAGTTCTATTGCTATGTATTGTCCGCCGCAGTGCCAGACAGTTCCCCGAAGTCCCCGGTAGTCCCAAATAGTCCCGAGAGGCCCCCACCGTCCCCTCAACCGCTCTGTTTCACCCTGTAGGGCCTACCGTCCTGCCTAAAGATGCCCGTCCTGTATTTTCACTGTCCCGGATGGTTGTGAACACTGGCTAAAGATGTTATTTCTCGGAAACCTTCAGTGAGCTGAGTTACCCATTTGCTAAGAAGCTTCCGATAACCGATGGAACAGACAGAATAGGGCAGGGAAACGCTATCTTACAGAATCATTTATAGAAAGTGCCCTGTGGTGGTCTGGAAGATAAATAGCACCTGACCGTGTAAAAGGGGATGAACAGAGCCCTCTCAAATAGGACGGGGACTACTAGGCCTGGATATATACGAGGATCCGCCTGATCAGCTGAAGGTAGGAAAAGAGACGGTCCCTCGCTTTCGGTCCGTCGGCTTCGAGACATTAACGGCGCGAGTACTAGAGAAATTAGGGGATGTCGAAGTGGTCCCAGCAAGAGGAGTTAAAAGTAAGCGATACGCACTTTGGTTATTTAGAGGAGCTGTAACGGTTGAAAGGTGTTCATAATTACCACAAGAGTATTCCACCCACCACGTAAACCCCCGCGTTCCTACCGCCTCGGTATCCGAAAGTCTTGGAATTGCAAGCCCGGCTCTCCTAAAACCACTGAGGCAGTGAGAATTTTCTTGGAGCTCCCTCCAACTTCCTAGATGTGTCGACTCCTCTCCTCCCACCAAACCCTCTTGCCTCTCCGTGGAATATTCATTGCTGTTGAGGGGGAGAACTGAGTTTATGACGAAAACTAGAGTGCCTGCCCGCGGGAGTGCTTAGGTCACGCAAGCAGTATTCTAGGGATAGGGATCAGAATGTGCATGATTAGTAGCGCTCACGGGAGCCCTTGCCGTGATCTACTAACTTCTCATAATAAGAAACGGCACACATGATAAAATTCGAGATCGCCGGGCCGCCGTGAAACGAACGAGTGACTAGCTGTGACAGCCAACAAACGCCAAGCGCTGACTCAACACACAAAGGCTGGAGCTTGAAAACTCTTCGCCTCGCTATCACACTCTCTATTCTCTCCAAACACACTCGCTCACCACTCTCAACTCTCTCACCATCGCGCGCAACTTGCTAACAAACTAACGGTGGGACAGGAGTATATATCAACTACAAGCGACAAATGATAAACCAAGAAGTCTTCACCCCCCCCCCCCCCTAAGGCACATTCTCCCTTCCCTGTGCAAACCAAAGCGAACAAAGGAAAGACAAACTTCATAGCCTCCAGCCTCCTATACGGCCTTCCGTATCCCCTTGTGCCTTTCCGTTCTCCTTGCTCCCTTTCCGCTTTTCCTGTAGCCTTCCCCCATTCCCTCGCTGAGACTCCCATGCTAACAAAACAATAGACAAACATCCACCGCTCTCCTGAAAGCCTTGTGGCTTTCCTCACAACCTTTCTGGTAAGTCTCTCTCTCCTCCCTTCCAAGCTCGCAAACTAAAGTACTAACAAAAGAAAAAACAAACTCGGGCTACTCTCCAGCCTTCCTCCGTTGCTTCTGCTGGCACTTTCCTCCCGTACGCTCCCATCACCAAAACGCTTTCCTGGAAAGCCAGAGCACGCTCCCGTGAACTAACAAAGAAAAAACTAGCTAACTAGCATGTGAACAGGTAAGTGAACGAATGGGCGGATGGACGGGCGAACGAGCAACGGGAACGAGGGAGGGGGGGAAGAGAAAAGAAAGGAGGAAGGGGGGGGGGGTGATGGGCAATGGGGGAAAGGTAGTGGGGGCAGGGGAAGGTGCGAGCATGCCGAGCAGCATCCCACCGTTTCCAACAACACACGCTTCAGAGTACAGATAGAGCCCTGGAGTGAAAATTCCGAGCACTGTAGAAGCTGAGAGAGTCGGAAATCGCGCTAGGGCGTTGGAGTTGCCTCCTAGTAAGGTCTGTTATCTAAAATGGGTACTGAAGGGGCAGTCCGCTATATTTCCCCCCCAATCCGACGAGGGAAGTTCTTGACGGCGAGGCGCACCATTCCAAATTATTCCTGGTTTTAAGGTATCGGATGAGAAATCCGCTCCCGCGGTTGGTCGGCCGATAAGCGAAGGAGTCAGGATGGATCAAGGGAAACCCCCGAGACTGCGGGGACCTGGAGAATGAAGTTTTATTCTTGATCCATGTATGATATACTAGAAGTTCTCGAGGCTCACGACGAGTGATGTTACATGATTCATGTTGCCATGGAAAAGCTTAATTGGGCCATCTCACAGAGCCCGTCCTAATTTACACCCCCTGTATAATATCTCATGCACCAGGAAATGTACCTTTCAATTCTCTTGGGCCCATAGAACAGCTCTCATTTCAACTGAATAACTCCCCGGGAACACAGCAGAGGGTGTCAAGGGGTTTGTATGGCTAGTTTGGATGGCTCCCGGTTGATACCCTTGGACACTACACAACCCAAGCAAGATAGGCCAATAGTGGATAGAAAATAGCAGGACAGATTTCGGGGGAGGTTACCAGGAGTGAACAACGACCTAAGACTACTATCAATTACTCCAGGCTTTGCCAAAGTTGAATATCCGATAAAGGGCCCGCAGCAAACCTTCTTCCACCCGGTGTTCCAAAAATCCCGCTTTTTCTCGGCTTGGCCACTGCCAATTCGATTCCTAGTGGGACCAACCATAATATAAGTGGGGAACGTAAAATCAGTTCTCGAGCTCTCCAGTTGATCGAATACAGCGCTTTGAAGCTCCCTCTCGGATGCCCGTGGTCCTCACTCAAATCGGCCATCCGCCCTGCCGGCCTAAATTCCATTTCCAAATTTTCCACTTCATGAATATGGCGGTGGGGGTCCTCCGGACCGCGACTACGACAGGGCGCACGAACTGAAGATACAACTTTCCTTACTGTCAAAGCAGACCCAGGTGGTAACCTAATGTGAGGAAAGCCGCTCTAAGGGTCAAGGGTATGGGGTGGGTGGAGTTTCCTAAGGCGATGCTGGTTGTGGTTGGTGTCCCACAAGTCTTTAATCCAATGTTATAATTTACTTGACCGACCACCGAAGTTTATGGCGGATCGATACCGGGAAACATAAATGATGCTTATGAAAAAGCTCTAGGTACTCTGCACCGGAATCCCGGCATCTCCGCCAACACGGAGATACTGCATTAGTGAGGGGACTTCATGAGAATGTGGATGTATGAAGTAGGCCTTATTCCCAATTCCAAAGTCTGAATTAACACCGGCAGCGAATGAAGGTGGCTGTTAGAGAGAGTACAGCAGATAGAGCTTACTGTTGGAAGCCACTGGTACTCATTTGCCGGTCGTATCAATCCACGGTTGGTATACGAGGTTTCATACGAGAAAGGATTGCTCCCGCTAGTATCTTTAGTCTTATTTCACGTTTAGTTTCAGATTCTAGGAGGAGGGACTCTACCGAATGCCAAGATACTTGGCGAGAATGTTGAGCAGTCTTTTGGCGAAGCTCGGTGAGTCGGCTATCTTGGTATGAGGACTTCTCTTGGGATGAACACGAGCCGGACCTCGGAAGACCGAAGAAATACCGGAAGACCCAGGTGCTCATGTGTTGGGATAGGGAGGATTTCTGTAGCGTGTAGATAGACGTTTTATTGTGGTTAGGGACCTCATCGGTCTATATGGGCCCCATATTGCCAACAAAGTGCTAATCCTGCTAGCTCTCCCATTTTCTGTGGGACAAAATAACGGGCCATCTCCATCCAACCCTCTTTAACCTCCCAATGCCTCCCTCTGTTAGTTCTACAAACTAACCCGAATGGCCCTTTGGGTTAGCCCGGGTCCCACAGCTTTGGGAGCCTAGTGGGCCGGAAACAACTTTGGCTGCCTTAGGTCCGGTTGACATGGCTCCTTTTCAACCCTAGTTAGCAAATTGCAGGGTTTGCTTAGAATCAACTCACACGTGGTGCCAAATTTGACTTGCAAAGAGCTTTGTGGGGCGGTGGAAATTCTATGTACAATCATAGTCTAGCGGGTGGCTCCAATGACTAATGTACGATAACTTGTCTATAGGGTGCTGGATCTGAGAAATAAAACTGAAACTGAAGAGCAGAGAAAACAGGACCATAAGCGAGGCACCTCCGAAGAAGGAAGAATACACTAGCTCCTTAACAACTGTCCTCCATGAACCCGTAACAAGGGCCTTATTCCGCTTGGAGGAAGGGAGGAAAGGGGTGGATGAACAAATATCGCAAAATGGAAAGGGAGCTCCAAGCCCAAGACCAGACCCAACCAGCTAAAGAGGAAATTGGTAGGTCAGTGGGACACTCCCCACCTTTTCTAAATTCTTTTCCATCCCTTCCTGCTATCTCCGGGGAGACTGTTATCAACCTGCTCCTGCTATTAGGGCCACTTGATAGGCTCATAGATTAATGGTAAGTGTGGGGGTATCCCCATAGTATCTTTTGAACGAGCCGCGAAGGCAATAGTGAACGAATAGGGGTCCGTGGCAACGAGCCAATCGGAAAACTAAGCGAGTGACCGGCTGTGAAACGAAACAACGCCAAGCTCACATGTGAAAAGATCACACAACTCACAGCCGGTGAAAACTCTTGTCTTCTCGCACAAACACACAATCTATTCTCTCTCACTCACACTCTCACCCCCTAAACTGTCGCGCGCACACTTTCTAACTTATATCTGCTGACGGAAAAGACAGGAGTATAAATCGCAACCGCGATACAGCCAAACCACAAACCAAGTTCTCCGGTCCCCCCCCCCCCCCGGATAAGTCCCCATCTCACTCGCAAGCAAACACACAAACTAACAAAGGAAAGGACAGACTTCCGCCGTCAAACCACAGCCTCCGCCGGGCTTTTCTTCTTTTCCTCCGTTCGTCACCTTCTTCCATGAGGATCCAAACCTCCGCGCTTTCCCGGCGCCGAACTACTTCTCCGGAAGCCAAAGTACATCCCCGGAAAACCGATCAAACAAAGAAAAAATACTAACTACTGCTCAAACAGAGAAACGACGTCCTCCTATCCTTCCCTTTGCCGGTATGCTTTCCCTTCCCCTTCTCAGAAATCCTCACGCTAACAAAAGGAAACAAACAAACATAACAGGTTCTTCCAGAACCTTTCTTCTCCGGTGTCCTTCCTTCTGCGCCTGCCTATCACGCCTTCCTTTCGCGCACACTGCCGGCGCCTCAGTGCTCCCCCGATAACTAAAGCGCGCTCCCGGGAAACTAACAAAGCAAAACTAACTAGCATGCAAACAGGAAAAAACACCGTTGAAACAAATCGGCAAATAAATGAGCGAACGAACGAACGAACGAACGAACGAACGAGCAACGGGGAAAGGCCAGGAAAGGCAAGTGAGGAAGGAAGGGGAGGGGGGGTAGGGGGAAGGGAGAGCATGCCGCGCAGTATTTCCAACAGTATCGGAAATATATCTAATTTTTATCTCAAGAGCGGGTAATAATAATAATAACAAAGAGAGTGGGTCAAACAAGAGGCAATCAGTGTGAGATACTAAAGTGGGACACTCAGTACGCGCTGACAGCTTCCGTAATGAGGAACGAAGGGATTTGTTCGGGGTATTGGAGGGTGTGTGGAATAAAGGAGATCGAGTGATAGTGGGTGTGGGGTGGCCGGATGCCCGGGGGGGTGACAGATCCGGGTGAGGATATGCAAGCGAACGGCTAATGAGGTAGTTCGAAATGCGGAGAGAGCGGCGCAAGTGTTCCAGGGTATTCAGAGACAGAAGGAGAGATGGGATCGAGGAAATGAGCAGTTTGTTTGGGATACGTAATAGAGTACTGACATGGGGTGGCAGACTGCCGGGAACGTGGCCTGAACAGGGAGGAGTTGGGCTTTCTTGTAGCTGCCGTGTGAAATAGGGGTACGAGAAAGAGCGACTGAATACAGGATAGGAAAGGGACAACTTCGAGAATCGGTGGTGTCATCAGGAATAGGATATTCGAGTAGTGAAACAATTGAGAGTCTCCTGGCCGGGTGTGCTACTTGTATCATGGGCCTAAGTCCCTGCATCAGAAACTGCCCCATGTGTAATGAGGAGCTGCGCAATTGATTCATGACGTAATTCTTTCGCTGCTTGTAGTGCATTGCCATAATAGCCACCCTGAGCATTCACATCTGCCCCACGCTCGAGGAGAAGCCGCACAACCGATTCGGTTCCTTTCGCTGCAGCTGTTTTTAGTGCATTGCCATAAAGGCCACCCTTCGCATTCACATCTGCCCCACGCTCGAGGAGAAGCCGCACAACCGGTTCGGTTCCTTTGAATGCAGCTGCTTGTAGTGCATTGCCATGATAGCCACC